CCACCACAATGCCAGGCTATTTTTTTGGTTGTAGTTGTCATTGTTGTTTGGCAGGCCCAGGCTGGATTTGAACCCGCCAGCTCTGGTGTATGTGGCTGGCGCCTTAGCTGCTTGAGCTATAGGTGCTGAGCCAAAAAGTGGCTGGTCTATAAGCAAAGTGGTAAGAAGAAAATATTATTTGTATTTTAAAACAATAGCTAATGCTGGATGCACAGTATAAGACTGAAAATAAAATTGGTTTCATTTTCATGTATGGCTGATAAAATAAAGATGACTAGTATATAATTACGAAATATTAAAAAAGGACATTGAAGGGCATCTGTTGCTTATTAAGCTTATGATTGCAAACTTTTTTCAGATTATCTAATTAATTTATTTTGAGCTAAATGAATTTTCACCAGTGACTATAATTTTTAAAAATCTTAAGTTTCATAAAAAGAAGCTATTGCTACAAAGTAAGAGGTTACTGACATATACAGTGAATATTTGTGTTTTGTTTTTCTTAAGCGGAAGCAGTTTGTAAATAAATCATAAACATCTGTAAGAGAGCAACTAAAAATGTCTTTTTTGATAATGATAATTTTCAAAATATTAACTGATTTTGTTGTTAATCATTTGGCTCTCTTGAAAAGAGCCTTGTAAATTTGTTACAACACATTGAGGAAAGAAATTTTGCAATAGGTATATGAATCTGAGACAAATGTCTTGCAAAAGCAAAATAATCCAGCAAATCGTAATATTAATATTGTTAATGTTGGCTTTAAGGAGAGGATTTTTGGTAGTATGTTTATTTTCCTTCCCCCATTCCCACCTTTTTTGTGTGTGTTATACCAAATGAAGGATTAGGAAAATGTCTAATTGTGTAGGGTGTGCTCACAGTTCATTACATTTTGTTAAGATCAGTGGTTCTCAACCTATGGGTTGTGACCCACAGGAACTATATTAAAGGGCTGTGGCATTAGGAAGGTTGAGAACCACTGGTTTAGATCATTAACTTTTTAAAAGCCTAAGATAGGCCACACAGTATCAATGCTGTCCATCAGATCTATCACGTTCATTATTGATGTATTATTACTTCCATCAGCATTGGAGTTGCACTGTGTCCTTTTCACTTGGAAGGTATCATTTGCAAGTTACCTGAAACTTTTTTTTTTCATTTAGTGACCTCATGCTGGATCTGATTACCTTTTCCACTTCACCTTGTTATGAGCTATTAAGATTTGTGTCATCATTTTACTACCCCAGAAGCTTAAGTATTTTAAATTACTTACTTACAGAATAAAATATGTCCAAAGGTAGAAGACTTTTCCCTGCTGCTGATTTTACCTGTAGAGTTCTGAGCCAGTGACACTAGTTTCTTTACCTGCAGTGCTTCTAGCTTTCTGTTTAGTGTATGATTATGGTTTTATTTATGTTTCCATGTATATTACCTGTGATTTTTCTCTTATTTATACACATCTGGCTACTCAGTTATTAGGCTTTTTCATGTGTATTTTGCTGGATTACTTTAGCCTAATATGACATACTGTTTTAGAATTCGAAACATATCATCAAAACATTTCAATCCTGCGGGGTAGGGGTAGGGAAAGAAGATGTAGGTTGATTGATTTATTTAATAGATTGATTTCTCATTCATGGCTTGTGATGAATTGTATGATAATAACCACGCAAACTGAATCAAATTACAAAAACTGAATACTTATAATTTTATGTAGTATAAAAATGTGCAATTTATTTCGTAACATTTCTCAAATTAATAATGAAGTTTTTTGTTTGATTTTATTGCAGGATGGCGTGGTTCTTGTTCATTGTAATGCGGGAGTTTCCAGGGCGGCTGCAATTGTAATAGGCTTCCTAATGAATTCTGAAGAAACTTCATTTACCGATGCTTTTTCTTTGGTGAAAAATGCAAGGCCTGCCATATGTCCAAATTCTGGCTTCATGGAACAGCTTCGTACATATCAAGAGGGCAAAGAAAGCAATAACTGTGACAAAATGTAGGAATTAGGAAAAGACAAGAGTTTATGAGTTGGTTTCTAGCAGATGATGGACAACTAATTTCTGAATTGGCCTCTGTAGCTACTGTCTTTTCCTTTTTTTGGAGAATAGACTAACAAGAACTTTTCTTTTCTCATCCATTTTTCAAATATAGACAGAAGTCAGTCTGATTTTCCTGAGCTAGTTTACAAATACATTTTAAAGTTATATTATAAGGTGTGATTAAATGCATCTTTTAATTATTAAGGGAAAATCACAATGTATTACTAGTCATTGATTTTTATAGAAGAAAATGGTTCACATTTAAAATCTATATTAAAGCATGGGAAGAAGGAATACATTTGACAGTCTTTCAGTATTTTTCTACTCCAGCAATTGTTTTCATGAAGAAAAATCTTGAAATGCTACTTAATAGACTGTTTCAGAGGGAGGGAAATTTCTTTAAATCTCTTTAATCCACAGGGATTTTGATCAAAAAGAATAAAGGAAAAAAAAGAAAAAAGGAATCTTTTTAAGATTAAAAATATATACCTTATATCTAAAAGAAGTAACCAGAATCTGAAAGTTCATATACTATTTATATAATGGTTACAGTAGTCACACAGTTTTTATGTTCTCTTGTGAAAACATACATACACCTCCTTTAACTGTTACCTGTATTTCTGTTTTTAAATTTTATAAATGTTTGCATAGATGTTCTCTTACGTTACTGTAAGATTTTGGCTCCTGGGTTAGGTGGTGTATTCTCTTATATTTTGTATTTTTGTCTTGGGTGCCTAGCATTCTAGTTTTGGGTCCCCTGTCATAGGTTTTTGAGCTCCTTGAATATATGGGAAAATTTAAGATGTGATTTGCTCAGTGATCTGTTTTCTGGTTCAGTATCCTATTAGAGAACATATTTTTAAGGAAAGAAGAGTTATGGTTTTATAAGAAATTTTAAGTATATTGTTAGGAGACCTAAATTATTCACAATTTTATCTTTGAACAGTGGCTTTGAATAGCTCTTTTTTCTTTTTTCCCCTCTTTTCTCTTTAATGTCTCCATATTGGCAAGAATGATTTCTGTACATTATAATTTTGCTTAAATTTTTAAATATTTTTTCCCCTCAGAATAAAGTATACTTAAAATTAATTATAGTAATTAAGATAGTTTATTTCATTACTTTCCAGGTAGTGTTTTGTGATTTAGAAAATATTGCCAGGTAGATTTTTAAAAGGTCCTGAGCTCTTCTTAAATATGCATTATAAAGGGCAGCATAAGTTGGAAAGCACATCTATGCATTTGAGAAGGGAGACTTTTTTATGCTGTCATGAGAAAGATAGATGTGATAAATGCAAGTTACGTTTTGAGATTGCTTATAGCCTGACAAGATGTCATCACATGTAATACTATCAACTCTGCTTCTGTTAAGAAGCTGCCTCGATATAATCAACCTGCAAGTGAGCTGTTTGAAGATAACCAAGGCAGACAGAACCCTCTTGAGACTATGAGACTGATGTATAATGTTATCTCTATGGTCAGTATTGCTCCAGGTTTCCTGGGTGAGCCTTCTTTATTCACGTGAAAGCATTTATTTAAACATGTTTTGTTTTGCTGAGTGCTATTTAGTTTTTAGCCATTAAATGTCACATGAAGCCTTGATAGAACCTGTTCATCATTACGTCTGTAGTTTGCATGCTTGTATTATGTATAGGAGTGCTTAAAGTATCACTTTTGTTTTAAATCTTAAATGATAGCAGTTTGCTGTAAATAAAATAAATCAATGTATGTAATTTCAGTGTTTCAAATTAGGAGTACTGGGCCAGGCGGGATGGCTCACGGCTGTTAATCCTAGCACTCTGGGAGGCTGAGGCAGGTGGATTGCCTGAGCTCATGAGTTTAAGACCAGCCTGAGCCAGTGTGAGACCTTGTCTCTTAAATATAGCCAGGCACTGTGGCAGGCACCTATATAGTCTCAGCTGTTTGGGAGGCACTTGAGCTCTATATACCAAAACATAGGTCTGTTTTGAAGGAGAAGAAAAATATTTCAAGGACTTTTTCTTTTTCCTTGTTTTTTTTTCCAGCATTATGTGAGAATCTTTATTTTGGCAAGTGCAGTATAAAAAATTTGACCTGAAAAGTAAAAAAAGCAGGTAAAAATAAATATGTTTACAAATTATTGTAGAAACAATACAAAAGAGGGTTAAAATTCTCAATGAGGACAAACCAAAATGTGTCCAACTGTATAAAGGCTCTTCCCTTGCAAGAAACGGGGATAAACTGAAGACCCAGTTTGGTTTTGCTGCTGAAAAATGTACAAAATAACTTAGAAAAAGCAGTCGAGGTCAAACCTTCTGAGCTCACTCACTACCTGTACCTGCCTACTTTTGAGCTGAGGAAAGTTGGCCACAGTGCAAGGCAGACCTCATGGTAGGACAGCCAGGAGTTCTCCAGCCAGTGTCCATCATTCTACATTAACCTTCAAGGAAAAGCTGAAGAAAAACAAGCCCTTGGTAAGGTTGGAGCTCTGCAGTTGGCTGACCGGATTTCCTCCACTATAGTGCTCAAAATTGTTGACTTCTTGGCTAGTAGAGCTGCCTTTAGTAAATGCCTGCTGCCTCCCAGCCTTCATGGGTTGGGTCTGATGCCAGTCAACAGTCTTAAAAGCAACTCCGGGTCTGTGTGATGTTGTTGGGTTTTTTTTTGTTGTTGTTGTTTGAGACAGTTCCACCCTATGCCCTGAGAGGAGTGCAGTGATGTCATAGCTCACTGCAACCTCAGACTTGGGCTGTGAACTTCCTGCTGCTTTGGCCTCGCAGAGCTGCTGGGACTACAGGTGCTCTCCTCAGCGCCCGGCTGGGTTTTTAATTTTTTTAATGAGTCAGGGTCTCACTCTAAGACAAGTTTCAAACTGCTGAGCTCAAGCATTCCTCCTGCCTCAGGCTCCACAGTACTGGGATTACAGACATGAGCCACTACTCCTGGCTCTGTTTATTTTTAAATGGATTTTTCTACCATTTTTTAAAGGGAAGGGAAAATGAAAATATCATTTCTTTCAAACATTTAAAAGAAATATAGACCCTTCATAGCAACTGGAGAAAGATGAGCAGCATAACAGCATTGGAAAATATGATAAAATTCTATTTATTTGAGATTGAGGTTACTATTTCTAAATGTTTTGCTAACTTTATGCTTTAGTATAGCTTTGTGATTACATATAATTTGAATTGAAAACTCAGGAAGTATGTAAATTTTTGTAAAACCCAAAAAGTATTTTTCTTAGGTGTTTAGGACAGGAAGTATTGTATTTAAAATCTTCATTGCAGTTTTAGTTTCTTCCCAACTCAACCTTGAATGAAATATATGACTACATTGGGAATTTTCTTTTCTTTTTTGTGGCTTTGACTCTAATCATTTCAGTAGTGGTGGAGAAACCTTCTAAACTTATCATCAGCATCATTATATATAACACAAATTTTCAAGTCAAATGTACATAGAATATTTCCCTCAAAATTTTTTCCATTTTTTTTTTTTTTTTAAGGGATGTGTCTTGCTTTCCACCTGGGCTAGAGTGCAGTGGCTTGATCATAGCTACTGTAATCTCGACCTCCTGGATGCGATCCTCTACTTCAGTCTCTAAAATAGCTGGGACTTCAGGCGTGTGCTACCACACTTAACTAGTTTTTAAACTTTGGTGGGAGGACACAGAATCTTGCTATGTTGTCCAGGCTGGTCTTAAACTAATGGGCTTAAGATCTTCCCACCTTGGCCTCCCAAAGTACTGGGATTACAGGGATGAGTCACTTTGCCTAGGCCCAAATATTCTTAACTATAGCAAGTATAAATCGGAATATCATCATCTTCTAACCTTACCTGGTGAGTTAACTTAATGAATTAATACCTTTATAAGCAAAACCATAATACATTTAAAATGTACATATGTAGCACAATTATTTGTTTTTGCCAGGTGTCTCTAAATAGTGATTTTTCTGCCTGAATAATAATATCCTGAATATATTTTATCATCTTGCAGTTATTTAAGAATTTAAACCAGAAGTTTTTCAAGTTTTATATTCTTTTAATATTTACAATGGCATTTATAATCAATAAATTTATGGTTTGTTTTCATTGCTGTACACTTTTTTAGAAATAAGTTAAACTTATCTTGGTACCCCCTAGCTTAGTGGTTAGGGCGCCGGCCACATACACTGGAGCTGATGGGTCTGAACCCGGCCTGGGCCTGCTAAACAACAATGACAACTGCAACAAAAAAATAGCTGGGCCTTGTGGTGGTTGCCTGTAATCCCAGCTACTTGAGAGGCTGAGGCAAGAAAATCTCTTAAGCCCAAGAGTTTGAGTTTGCTTTGAGTTATGACGCCACGGCACTCTACCGAGGGTGACATAGTGAGACTGTCTCAAAAAAAAAAAAAAAGGTAAACTTTTCTATTTCAAAGCTTAAAGTTACTTACTTTATATACATATTTATAATGGTTGATAATCATTCAATAAAAATGATAAGTTTAATATCTCACCCTGTTAGTATCTTTATTTCTTTGAGGCTATTTATTTTAAAAGCTGTAACACTTATTTGCTGCCAACTTCTGTGTTAAAAAATCTGTTGGCAAGACACAAAACTTATTTTATTTTAGTTTAGCATACTTTTTTTTTGAGAGAGAGGCAATCCACTCTCCTTGGCCTCTCAGAAATGCTAGGATTAACAGGCGTGAGCCACCAAACCTGGCTCTAGTTTAGTTTTGAGACAGAGGCTCACTTTGTCTCCCTCAGTAGAGTGCTATGGAAGGTGTAGTTCACAGCAACCTCAAACTCTGGTGCTCAAGAGATTCTCTTGCCTCAGCCTTCAAAGTAGCTGGGACTACAGGCAATAGCCATAGTGGTGGCTATTTTTAGAGACAGGGTCTTGCTCTTGCTCAGGCAGGTCTCAAAATCCTGAGCTCAAGCAATCTACTCACCTTGAAAGTTATATATTTTAGAGTATAAATTAGTTTAGCTTTATGAAGATTAGCTGCTCCAGTTACTTGAAGAAATGAAAGGCTAAAGTAAGATCTTATAATTGGTATAACCACAGATACATTTGCAATGAATATTCAATAGAAAGTCATCGTCCTTTAAGTTAAGTGAAGATGCTGAATTACTGTCAGATTAAACTACCAAACATCCTAACTGTGACTGCACTG